CTCGAGCTTTTGGTAGTGGGTGTTGAGCTCGTCATACTTGAACTTGTAAGTGAGTTCAAGAGCTGCTGATGGCTGCTTGGAGATGATCTTCCTGATGTCCTAGAGGTCGGTGCAGATCTGCTTCATCTCCTCGAGCTGACTGTCGAGCCAGTGGTTTAAGGGCTCGTAGAACTCCTTCTTGATAACTCCCTGGGTGTATATGAAGAAGTCTTGCTTGAGGTGCTGTGCAATGTCGGCTAGTGTTGGGAAGTGGTTCACTTGGTCATGGAGCTCATGGTGCATGCGTTGATTGAGGGCTTCGAACAACTTGCAGGTGCAGTAGCTCAGGTCGTGGAGTTTATCCTCGTACTCCTTCCTGATCTCTGTGGCTGAGGAATGGCTGCTGGGTAAACGAGCAACAGGAAGAACTGAGTGAGCTTCTGCCGAAAATGCCAAAGATTGAGATCCTTGTTCTGGACCTCCACGTACGTTGCATTGGATCTCACTAAGCTTCGGCAGGAACAACAACAAGGACGTCAACTTCCACCGAGAGTGTTTTGACAAGGAGCTGTTTTCTTCGGTTGTAGAGAATGGTAATTTTCTTTCTTTTTTCTGCAAGTTCTTGCTGATACACTTTCTTTTTCTGTTATTTGCAACAGTTGTCCACCATGGAAATCCTGGACCTTGTCCCGGGGACGTTTGCCTACAGCAAAGCTCAGATGTTAAGTGCTAGAGTTTTGCTGTTGAAACACACAACCAGGTATTTAGCTTCAAAATCAAGTTGATTCCAAAGCTTATGTGAAGACGGCATCATGAAGATTCACGCAAGGCCAACAATTGACGCGAGATTTAACTAGCAATGTGACCTTGTTTATCTTGACGCTGGACTTTGAACACATGTCACTGTGCCAACAGCGGCAAAAGGCCTCAAATCATAGTGGCTACGACTGAGGATTTTCTATTGAAGAGTTTCGTTTCCAGGACGTACAGATGTTCTTACTACTATCCTTTGAATCCACAAAGATGAAAACTTGACAGAATATATGTAGTATCGGAAAACTAGGAAAGGCAAGCAAACAAGATTAAAACTTCTAGTTGTCGATGAAACTAGCAGCAAGAAGAGCAGTAACAGCAGGAGTCATGCTTATCCTTGTCCGGCTCAGCAATCTCCTGAATCGACTCCCCGCAGATACACTTTTTCTTCTTTATAATTTTGAGGACCTTGAAATCGCCAATGAACGTGTAGCGTGGGTCATCCACATCCAGCTTTGTCACACCTGCGTGCATAAATTAAGAGTATAGTATGAAACAGCTCTATTACATACTTCTCATATGAGCGGGAAGGCTCCAGCTTTGGAACACCAGCTCCTGCCTTCATGGTGAAACCACTGCCCGAAAAGTGCAAGGCACAGAAGATCTGGAAGGCTTCGGCAGCACCAAACTATCCACATGCACCACTCCTGGTGTCACACCTTCACTCTCCAAGCTCCACCTGACACCTTTGACAACATGAGAGCCAACAACCACATCTGTGAATACGACCATAGGTAGTATATCTGTGCCTGTAGACACACTGCCCAACACCACCTTCTTCTTGGCCCAAGCACCTTTCTGGTGCTTCTCTGCCCTGTCCAGAACCTGGCCACACCCCTCAGCAAGCTTGGATTTGTCGTTTTTAAACTCCACGTAGTTGTCGCACCACTGGTAAGCATTACCCAATACCACCCTGGTCGGATGGACATCCCAATAGCCAAGTCAGGTAAGGTTGCAAGTTTGTTCCTTTGGAACCAGCAGCACTTTGTGAAGTTGCGCGTGTCAACATTTTCCGTGGTACAGTGGCCGAGTACCAGTCGTGCTGCATGCTGGTAGACCTTGCCAAGATCATTGTAGGAGTCATTTGGCTCCCACACGCACTGGCGGATTTGCCAGCAGTTCGGGTGGCACTCGATGTCAGCTCGTACGTTAGTGAGGAGCTTTCGAAACATTTTCGCAACCGGCCCGATTTCAGCATCACTGAGTATCGCTTCATGCTCCCAGAGATGGCCGCGGTGGTCCGAGCTGTAGCCCTTTTTCAAGTCCACGTTATTATTGGAACCTCTGTTTAGTGACCTAAGGTTGGGAGTTCAATAATCATAAAAAAGGTTTAAGCAACTATTGGCTTTGCCATTTTTAACCTCATCTTAGTAGACAATATAATAAAGCTCATTATCAATAAAAGAGAAGACAATGAAAATATTAAACCTAGTCATATTTTATGTTCAAGTTTATGCCTATTATTCTAGGGTTTAATACCGATATAACTCTTGGAAGTTGACGGAATTAATAATAAAATACTAAAGTAATGGAAAAGAAAAAATAGATTTGTGTTGAGCTCATGTTGTCAAAACAAGGGGTTTGACGGAATTAGTAATAAAATTCTAAGGAATTGGAGAAGAAACAAATGGATTTGTATTGAGCTCGTTTTTTAAAGAAGGAAGGTTGACAACCCAATCACTACAAAGGAGAAAGAGAAGGGAATCACTTACAAATTTTTGCCTTGTGAATGAGAAGCCTAGTTCATTAAATTTTCATATTCTTTCTATTTGAGTGTTTGAATTCTAGGCTGAGCAACTTCTATGAATCACAACAAGTTCCATAAGAAGTTAGCATGGAGATTCACTATGAAAATATATCATGCTTAGATAAAAAGGAATAAGAAATAAATAAAAAACCTACTTTTCTTTATAATATTCAAGTGGATTACAAATGCTATAAAAAATTTTATGGAATGGATTTGTTAATGCTTTCCATTATGCTATCCATTTTTTCTTTCTTTCTGTTTTAGATTGGGAGAAGGATTTATGCTTAAACTACATGAAATGAAACTCCACTAGAGGATCTAATTCCATCAGAACCTATTAAAATGGACAAAGAAATCTTGGCACCCACTCCAACATCAACTACTACTTTCAGTAAATGATCTTTGAAAAAAATTAATAACTTTTTAGGATTTTCCAGAGATGATAGAAAATTTCCAATCTCGCAAGTTGGGATAAGCGTTCAGCCAAAGGTCTTCTCTTCTCACATTAAAAAAAGATTGTAGAATGCATTATTGATGAAGGCAAGAATTCTAAATGTGGACAGCTATGATAGTAGAGATAAGGAGGATGTTTTCCTGAATAACAATAGAAAAACATACAAAGTGATAATAGGAATGGAACTTATATCCAATTGTCCTAATTTCCATAAAGGAGTTCAATTTTGGACTATAATCGACAAGGACATCACCCCTAGGAACATTGCTTACCATGAGTAAGGAGTTGGTTTGGAGTCCTACCTTGCCACATTTAGTGATAGCATTGAATATACCTAAATATAATCTGTATTATTATCTTTATTATTATTATTATAAATTTATTTAGATTTTTATTTATTACAGAAATATATTTGGTTTAGAATGAGCACACAAAAGAAATCACACACAATCAAATCGCACATGAAATCTATACTGCTCTTTCTCATAATATCTTGAGCTTCATTTTGTGAAAAGATTGATTGAGTCAATCTTGTATGGGTTCAATTGGAAGAGCTCAATTGGAAGACCAAGTCCTTTGAGTGCTAACTTGGCCAACTATATGGAGCCTTGCTTGAGCATCACCTGCTGCTTGTTATCATCCAATTGAACCAAATAGCAGCCCTTGTGGAAGAGGAAGTCCATATATGTGTGACAAGATCCAACTCCTATATCTCACATTAATCAGATTGCACAACATACTTCTTCTCATTTGAGTGGGAAGGCTCTAGCTTTGGAATGCCAGCTCTTAGCTTCGGTGAAACGGCTGCCAATGTTTTATCTTATATATCATTTTAGGCAAAGTAAAAGAAGAAAATTTAGGCAAAATGAAGTTATGCTTAAGTTTGAAAAAAAACTTGATTTAGGCAACATTCGTCATAAACAAGCATGAAGCAGTTATGAATGATTATAAGTATATAAATAACACTTAGATGTGTTAAAAAATAACCATATTATATGCATTTGCATTAAATTAACTTTTGGGGTTTAAAGTTGAGTTCTCTTTTATTCTTTTTTCATTTTTCTTCTCTTATTATCTTCTCTACATTTTTGTATCTGTTTGTTTGTCACTATTTTACAAGTAGAGGCAAGAATGTGATCATAAACAGAAAAAAACTTTATTCACTTTTGGTAATCCTAGTGGGATAAATCGTCACTCTTTAGCTTTAAAAACAGCTAAGAGAAATCATTTGTAAATTTCAAACATGTCTAAAAATCACAAGTTACATTACTCAATGTCCCTTATGGATTAAAAAAGTACAAAGTGAAACTTAAGCAAAACTCTCTCAAGCACAGAACTCCTGCCACCACTCATGGTCCCTCCGCCTCCTGTGTGACTCCTCCACGAAGCTAGAGCCACCTGCTATGCCCTAGGGAACGCAAGAAGGAGAGTCAAGTATTAAGCACCATGGAATTGATTCCAAACTCTAGTCAAGTCTTTTCTTTTTTGCTGTTGATCTTCACTGTTTTCCCCAGATCGCTGAGCTTCTTCCTTCTCTATGCAGCTACTGAAACTGTGACACATCTGGCTCACAACCTTGTTCTTGCAGCGTGAGAAGAACTTCAAGAGTGCCAGAACGCGATCTCCACACGTTGCATATCCCGAGACCAATAAACGCCATCCTGATACTTGATCTCAGAGAAAACTTGTGCAACGTCTAAACTTTGTCCACTAGAGAGTTCGCCAATTGCTAAAATTTTTGGACTGTTCGTAAATCAGTTGAAGATGCAACTCGTAAGCACCTCAATTGATGATCAGATTGCAGCAGGTGATCAGGCTGCTTCGTCGTTTAGGCCAGCCCTTCCTGGGCTGTACAGCTCGTGAATCCAGCACAGCCCAGCCCAGTACTTACTGCTTCACACTTTGTAGCATGCATCTCTGGGTTGAGCTCATTCCGTTTAGAGTGAAGAAGTATGGAGAGGTACCTTCGATCGTTCTGATTTTGGGTATTGACAATGCACCAGCTTTTCAGGGTTCTTGAGCAATCGTGTTGGCCACAAGAATGTAGCTGGCTGCTGGATCTTCACCGGCGGAGCGCGCCAGCATTGCACTCGCGATTCCAGCGCCGGGATCCACACTCCTATGGCTGTTGCACGCGCTGAGGAAGCACTTCCACTCGAGATTGCACGGCGCGAATGGCATGGTTGTGACAAGCTCCTCCGCCGCCGTCAGGAATCCCGATCGCCCCAGCGCGTCGATGAGGCAGGAGAAGTGCTTCCGGGTGGGATCCAGGCCGTAGTCAATGCGCATGGACAGGAAATGCGATCGCGCGTCCTCCACAGCGCCGCTCTGGCTGCAAGCCACCAGGATCGCGACGAAGCACACCTCGTTGGGGCTCTCCGCGAGCTTCATCTCCTTGAGGAGATCGAAAGCTCGGTGGGATTCGCCCTTGTGAGCGCAGTGGGCATCGAGGATCGTGCCCCAGGAAACAAGATTTCGCTCGGGCTGGCGAGCGAAGAGTCGCCGGGTTTGATCCAGATGCCCGGAGTGGGCATACGCTGCTAGGATCGAGTTCCAGCTTACGATGCTTCTCACGGGCATGTAATCGAAGAGCGAGCGCGATTCCTCCAGCATGCCATTGTTGCTAAAAGCGGCGAGCATCGAGTTCCAGGAGACCTGGTCGCGCTCGGGAGCTGCCAAGAACAATCTCTCCGCCTCGGCGAGATGGCCTCGCTGGGCATACGCAGCGATCATGGAGTTCCAGGAGAAGAGATCGCGCTCCGGCATCGCGTGTTGGAATGCTTGCTCCGCTTCCTCGATCTGGCCGGCGCTCGCGAGCGCGGACAGCATCGAGTTCCAGGAGACAAGCGATCGCTGCTGCATCCCATCGAAGATCACTCTTGCCTGCCCGAGGTCGATCGCCAGGGCGAGGACGCAGTTGGAGGAGACGAGGTCGAGCTCTGGCAATCGCTGGAGCATAGCGAGCGTTTGCTCGCGTGATCCATTCTGGGCGAAGCAGGCAAGCATGGTGTTCATGGTCACGAGGCTCCACTCGGGCATGGAATCAAAGACCTGCTTAGATCGATGGAGGCTCCTGGAGTGGCAGTGAGCTACAAGCAGCAGCGTCCACGAGACGACGTTGTGTTCTTCCGCGGCGAGGAAGATTTGCCGAGAGTTCTCTAGATGCCCATTCTGAGCATATGCAGCAAGCATGGAGTTCCAGCAGACTAGATCATACTCTGGCATGGAATCAAACACGAGCTTGGCTTCCTCCACGCGACAAATGCTTGTGTACGCTGATAGAAGTGACGCCCAGCAGAAGAGATCCATCGCTGGCATGGAACGAAAGAGGCTCTCAGCCTCGTCTAGATGCCCCATGCGGGCATAGCTCGAGAGGAGCGTTGTGTGGAGGATGAGATTTGGAGTTGGGTTTTGATCGAAGAGTTGCTTGGCGGCGTTGATCTGGCGGTGCTTGCAGTAGCCGGAGATGATGTAGTACCAAGCATAGTTTCCCTTGGAATCGTTGGGAATGGAATCAAAGATGTTTCTGGCGATGGAGAGGCCACTGCCACCGATTCTAGCAAACATTTGGAGAAGCTTCTCCTTGAGGAATACATCTGGAAGATGGTTCTTGTGGATGTGATCTTGGATTGCTTTGGCTGAGTCGAGTGATGTGCATGTCTCGATGCTCTGAATCCAAGCATTGCGATTGATGCCACTCCCAATGCTTAGGAAAGTAAGCATGAAAGTTGGAAAATAAAATGGTTTGTGATAATAATAAGTCACCCAAATTTTTGAATGCCTCCACCAAAATTAAAAAATTAAAAAATTGCTGTGTTTTGAGTTTTATTTTAAAAGAAAAAACTATCAAGTTTCTACTGATAAAAAAATTACTTAAAGAGACTATAGTAAGGAATCTATGATTGTGCATGCTTGGATTATATATTTAAATATGTATGAAGATACACAAATGTGCATATAAATTATTCAAAAACCTTTATTTATATATAAGATCAAATGGTCTAGATTAAAACCAATTTGATAGCTATCAAAATTTTATAACACTAATATTAGTATATGGTATTGCATAACATTCCCTCCTCTTGAAAGGATGGAAAGTAGTCAAGTTCTTTAGTTTATGGGTCAGGATTTGAAAGAATATTAAAAGGAGATAACAGTGGATTTGTAAATGATTCTTGATTTTTTTTACCAAAAGTTGTATATGTATAATTTTTTGAAGATTGGTTTGTTGAATATCATGCCATTGTTGTTTCACTTGTATATGGTTTGAGTGTTTAACACATTCTACTTGGACAAGTGGAAGAATACTAATTAAATATTAATCATAAAACCTAACCTTGCTAGTGTAAGCTCATGAATTTGGATTTCCTGAAAAATCACCTAACCCAATACTATTCAAACTTAAAGATGTTTAACCCCAAATATCATAAAACCCTTAATTGATTAAAAAAAGGGGTGCACTTTTATTTATAAACAATTTCCCTTTATATTTAAACCTTTTTGATTGTCTCTTAAATCATTTTTTTTTGTTGTTTATAGGCAATTTATGACAATTGTGAAAGTAAACTCAACTCTATTGGTAAGATCAGATTATGACTATATAAAAGTTTATATGATGAAGCATTAATGGAACTCTATACCCTTGTGATATATGCATATTGAAGAAATAATAAATAACCATCCCAATCCAAATATTGAAAATTGACATACTTTGTAATTATCCATTTGAATGTCTGAATGAGTCATTCCACTAAACCATTTATTTGTGGATGTGAAAGTGTGATGTATCTTTAGTAGAGATGTTAATACATGAAATACCTCAATCATAAATATAGAACCATTATCTGAGAGAATCCACTTCAGATAGAAATGTTGGAATACCATTCGATTGAAGAGGAAATACCTAATAATAGTCATAAACTCACTAGCAAAAGTATTAATTTCCACCAAACAACTTGAGTAATTGAAAACAATAATAACATCCTCATTGTTAACAATTGATTATGAAGAAGGCCTTATTAAATCAAACACTACCAAATTAAATGGATGGGAAATTGCAATTGATTGTAACTGTCTTTCCACAATACGAAAGGGAATATTACGAGTTTGGCACTAAACACAACTACTTACATACTAAATAAAATTATATCACATCTTCAGCCAATAAAAAAACTTGCATAGCTTCTCAATCATATGCCAATGTCCTATATGCCTACATAGGATAGAAGGGATAAAGTGGAACATAAGTGAAAGGAAAGAAGAAATATGAAGAGGTATGAAATAGGGGAGAAGCTTTAAAATCATATTTAGGATGATTGTGCTACAATTAATCTATACCAATAAAGTCAAAATTTTGACTTGGCACCGCTTGCAATGATTGAAGTTCAAGTTCAAGATCACCCTATAAACAACCAAAAGGAACGACTTGAGAGACAATCCATAAGGGTTCAAATATAGAGGGAAATATCGTAAACTCTAAACCGGGCCCATGAATAAGAGTGCACCCCCTTTTCCAATCGGTTAAGGGTCTTGGGATAGTTGGAGTTAAACGTCCTTGGGTTTGAATAGTACTGGGCTAGGTGACCTCCCGGGAAGTCCAAACTCAAGAGTTTACACACCCATATGCACAGCATGAGGCGAACCTCTCGGGAAGTCCAAACTCAGGAGTTTACACACCTATATGCACAGTTAGGTTCGCCTCATCCTGTGCATATGTATATTTACGTTCGTTGTTATAAAAAATGAAGATTGGCTTTATTGCATGATAAAATTGTAGATGGCAGGTTGGCTAGGGAATCACACCACATGTTGATTGACATCTGGCTAGTCCAATTTGCTCCCACTAGGCTCGACCCGAGGGGTAGGGTGTCAGAAGAGCGGGGCTCTCGGGAGCCGTAGAGGCGAACCTCTCGAGAAGTCTAAACTCAGGAATTTACACACCTATATGCACAGTTAGGTTCGCCTCATCCTGTGCATATATATATTTACGTTCGTTGTTATAAAAAATGAAGATTGGCTTTATTGCATGATAAAATTGTAGATGGCAGGTTGGCTAGGGAATCACACCACATGTTGATTGACATCTGGCTAGTCCAATTTGCTCCCACTAGGCTCGACCCGAGGGGTAGGGTGTCAGAAGAGCGGGGCTCTCGGGAGAGCTGCGGCTCTCAACTTCCATTCACGAGGGCGTGAATTGCATGGAAGCGTGGTGGATTGTAAGCAATCAAAAGGAACGACTCGAGAGACGATCCATAAGGATTCAAATATAGAGGGAAAGGGCCCATGAATAAGAGTGCACCCCCTTTTCCAATCGGTTAAGGGTCTTAGGATAGTTGGAGTTAAGCATTCTTGGGTTTGAATAGTACTAGGCTGAGTGACCGCCCAGGAAGTTCAAACTCAGGAGTTTACACACCCATATGCACAGTTAAGTTCACCTCATCTTGTGCATATGTATATTTACGGTCGTTGTTATAAAAAATGAAGATTGGCTTTATTGCATGATAAAATTATAGATGGCAATGTCTGTCAATAGGCTAAAAATAAAAGATAATCTCAAACTTATATCAACTAATTTTTTGATATAAAAATGAGCTTAGAAAGTAAACATTAAATGTGGTGTTGAGTGAACCCCTTGATAGTACTCCCAAAAGAAATATAAAAGGGTTATTGACTTATTTGCGCAAGAACCCTCCATTATTTGCTTAACTCTTCATTTCTTAAAAGCATTTTTGTGTCAAAACATTCCACTGAAGTAGCATCAACAAGACATTGTTGATGCCAAGGCCTTCATTTAAGAAATAGAGGATGTCAATCTAGAAAACACTAACAATACTGATATGTATGGCCAACTTTATCATATGTCTAGCAATAGACATCATAGCCACAACCACATCCTCGCTCTTGTTCTTAAACACAAATAATAGTAGCATCAACTTTCATTAGAACAAAATCATCTCCTATAAAACTTAGAGTTAAAGGATATGTAACAAGATATGGAAGAAACAATACCTTATAACATTGTGTCAATCAAAAAGTATTGTCAAGGGTGGTTGGAGTAAGTGTATACATAAGTTCTATAAAATCTTGACGAAGTGTTGGCCATAACATTCCCAACTTAATCTGCTTCAATATATTTGGCTTTATATAAAATAAAATGTAAGTTCTTGAGTTTAAACTTCTTGAGAGCCTAGTATTACTCAAACCCAATGACACTTAACCCCAAATATCCCAAGACCCTTAATCGATTGGAAAAGGCCTTTTTCCTTTATATTTGAACCCTATATAAATTGTCTTTTGGGTCATTCTCTTTAATTGTTTACACAAAAGGCTTTGGAAGTAAGTACAAAATTGCATCACTAACTCAAACAGCATTTGACAAAGACGATGTAATTGTGGGAAAGCATTATCACAATTGTCAACATGTTTAAATGCGTGCTTAAAGATCTCCAAAAGAATGCTTTAATCCATATGAATGGCTGCGTGTAAGCCACAAATTTTTCCTTTCTAATTTGCCAGCTTACCTCGCCTATCCGACCAACACCGCCTTGGCTTTTGCTAAGTTCCCTTGCCAAGGTTCTCGCCTATGGTACCAGCTCCTACTTGGTCTTAGCTACTCACTGCACGAGCAACGGAGTGTTAGCCATCCTTCCACGGATTCCCAAATCACTCCCAATCCCCCTCCCCGGGTTAGACTGGACTTAAGGTTCGGCTACACTCCCCGCAAGCACAAGCAGCCAAGCACACCAAGCTTCCAGGTTCCTAACATCCTTTGGTACCACAAGACTTGATCATGGGACCCTCTAAATCTCAAGTCTTGAGTGCAACACTTGCTTCGGGACGCCGGGGCGAAACACCGTGGCCTAGCGGCCCGGTATGGGTACCTCTCGCCCCCCACTTCCATCCCGAAGGAAGGCCCAAGCCCCTAGGAAGGGCGAGGACCAATGAGCCGCATGGTACTCAAGTGGGGCCCCACTCCACTTGAGCCGGGAGCACCGCAATCGGTTTCCCTTTCAGGAGTGGGAGCTGCTCTTGAGCACTTCCTTGGATGGCCCCTCCGGCACCAACCAAGTCCATGCTCACTCCCACCCAAGGCCCCTCGGTCCCAGTCCCAACCTCAAGTCAGTTTGGGAGCCCCACTGGAGAGTCCCTTCTAAACTGGTTCCTGGACCTCACTATCCCTACTATACTTTTGGAACCCCCTGCAGCCCCCCCCCCCTGGGGGACGCACGCTTTGGGCTTTCACCCCTTGACCCGTATTAGTATTTGGACTTAGTCTCTGGCTCGATCTCGGATCCGATTTCGGATCCGAC